GCTTTAGGACTTTTTCTAATTTTATGACAGCAGTTTTATGTGATTTTCCAGATGACTGACATTTTAATAATTACATATACATTCACAATCATGATCATACATAATACTGAACCCACAGGGTGCACAGCTCACACAATCCAAACACCTTCAAAGTCAATTTTATATTTTATTTCCTTTATTAAAAAAAAAAAAAAAAAACCCTGTTTGAAAAAAAAAATAAAAAAGGATTTAACATTTGTCATTATATAGCTATATATATCTCTAGATATATATATAAAATTACAAACATTTGGGAATATGGACATTAAAATTTGGCTACTTTGTTGATTTCGAAATAAAATCTACATCTAAAATAATGCAGAAATGTCGGTGATATCAACAAAATATTGGAGTTAGTCACCTCATCTAGTTAGAAATGGTCTTCAACAGCCTTTTTGACATGAAATAAATGAAGCCTTTGTAAAATTGATGTTTTTACAAGGCAGAAAACTTATGTCATGCTTATATACGTCTCCTTAGAACAACATAGCATAGAAGAATTAATACATCCAACAGCTTCTAACTAATGTGGAGAAGCATTTTACTCCACTGTAGTGTTTTTCTTTTTCTGTTGCAGGCAGTGGAGTGATATGTCTTCATTAGGATATAATGGCAACAACAGCTGGTCACATAGATGGAGTTTTCCAGCTGACCGTAGCGATAAGACAATCTGCTGATAACTTTAGTAAATAATATCCTCGGCCTCTCTCTCGCTCTCTTGCACTCTGTCTGTCTGTCTCGTTCTGTACTTTCTCTCAGGCCTTATCTAGCATTGAATGTTTTTCACTTAAACTCGCACTCTGCTAACATGCCCATCACCCAACGCCAAATAGGCCGGCTGTTACAAAACACTCTGTTTCATGCCAGGGTGCCGGCTCTGGCAACACATCTCAGCCACCTCTCCATATCTAAGTGTGTGTGTGTGTGTGTTTGAGAGATTAAGAGTGGGAATGAAAAGGAGATTCAGAGTCAGACACTGACATAGCTAGATGTGTGTGTTTTCGTACATTTGTCAGTTTTCATCGTCCTTCTATCACAGATCCTTTAGGAATGCCAGTTTTCCACAGGCTCATTTAACTTTAGCCTCCAGTCATCCCACTCCCACCCTTCACCTTTGACCTCTGAATTTTCTTCCCAGAGGAACAAATCGAAATTCCTGTGTTGTCTCATTATTCCATATTCCCTGTCCCTCTGCAAAACAAAAAGGCGTTGTCCTGCCAAACAAACAAGCAAATGATCTCATACTGTAGATCTTCATACATACATGTGGTATGTTATGTTTGTCCATGTGTGTCCGTGTTGAAGGTAGAATTTAATCTTTGATACTGTTATCAGTTCCATGGTGCTGGAGGACTGTTTGGAAGACCCACTGCAGCTCTGACCTACTTGTGTCAGTGTACAGGGCTGCATGTAGACTGTTTTTCATTTAGTGTGTGTTGCATGTGTGTGTGCGTTCATTCGCGCTCGGGCCGGTGTGTGTTTGAGGCAAGCTCTCTGTGGATGCGGGGAGTGTGAGAAGCTGGGTGTTTTGACAGCTTTAGAACAGTTCCAGTACAGTGCTGAGGCAGGGGGTGTGCGGGCCTGTTGGATATTTGGGCGAGCTGTAGGGGTGAGAATAGGGTCAGTGGAGGAGAGGACATGACAGGATGAGATGAGGGGAAGGGTTTTATTCCAAGTCATCAAAATGATACCCGATATCCATTGCTTAATGTTAAGATTTACTATGCAGGATTTTCCTTTAAAAAACAGTGTAAAGACTCATCTCAATCATCACATGATCCACTAGAAGTGTGTGGCGGTGTATTTTTTCTGCAGAGACTCTACCCTCTGCCTGTATTTTTAAAATGTTCTTCTCACTTACTGTGCGTGGGATGTTTATGGGCATGTAACCCCACAGTGTTCAGGTGAGGTCAGGGCTGTATATATAGGTAGCAGCCAGGTGTCAGACCACAAGCAGCAGGCCTTCAAGAGACACAGTGCTGGGGGGAAAAAAGGAATAATAGCAAGACAAAACACCAAAGGAGAGTGAAGCTGGGGTTGACTTTTACTTTCACTTTTGCTGGTGAAAGCAAACACTAAGTGACAATCCTGCGTACTATACCTTTAAATAAACACCTGATGTCATCTGATATCAACCCATCAGAGCCCAAAGGTATTCACTTTCACCATAATGTACTTTTTTTTTTTTACTGAAACACCAGCAATTATTTTGTGAGAACAGATGATGATGTTGATTGCAAAATGAATTTTTAAATGTTTGATTAAAAGTGAGATGACGGCATTTGCAGAGGTAAATTAAAGTACTGAAAAGGGGGAGAAGGGTATCTTAAGGACGCCAATTTGGGATTTTGTGATCTTGAAATTAGTGCTATCGTCTAAGTAAACAACCTCAATCCCTCAATAAAACTCGAGGAAAATTGGATGGCGTTGAATATATACTGCAGACTAAACCGAGTGTTTGTCCAAGCAGCAGGACACTCCTCGCTGAGGTGCTCATGCCAAAGAATGATCTCAGCTCATTCTCCCAACTTTAATCTCACCAAAGTGTAAAAGCAATGGGAGTAGACTTCCCACACAGTTAATAGAGGGGCGATAAAGCTCGTAAACAAAGCCACTCAGTCCTTTCCGTACTACTGTAGCTGAAAAGGCCAGACATAAACTCAGCCTGTGCTGCTTGAGAGTTCTCTCACAAGTACACGTCTCAGACAAAGGGGCTGCCTCTCTACATTTCTGAGCCCTCTCAGTGCCAGTGCTGATGAACCCCTGCTTTCTCCAGTGGCATTCCAGCCCATCTTTCATGCTGTTTCATTCTGACCATGCCAGCCAGGTCAGAGGCCAGTGTTTTCTCAGGGCTTCAAGACAACACTGGACAAATAGATATAAAAAAAATACATCTCCACTGGTTGCACATTGAAGTCCTCTTAGCCATGGTGGTGATGCTGTGTTACTGCATGTGCGCTTTTGCACGTTGTGTGCATAAACATGCATGAAAACACATCTATATGTGTTGGGGTATTGACAGAGCAGCAGAAGGGTCAAACAATAGATCTGTGTCTTGCTATCCTGCTTCACTGAACTCTTTCACCCTATAGGCATATAGTGTTGCAGCCACTGGGATCTGTCACATGCTGTCTGTGCTGTGGCCTTGAGTGACAACACTCACATAATAAAGCAGAGAGCTTATGCCTCCTTTGTTTCAGAAAGGTCAGTACCAAATTCTACCAGTAGATGTCTGTCTTCAGTCTTCCACAGCCACGAAAGGAAGTTGGTAGATCGGCCTGTCCGCAGTCCCCACATGGCCAAACACTGCAAAATATCCCAAAAGAATTGTAAGATAAATGTAACCTAATATGAACTCCACTCCCACCTCTTATCTGGGATTGCAGATGCGGCTCTAATGAAAGGCAGACGGACTCAGAAGAAGCTTCCTGTCTCGAAAGCATGTCTGGGCAAAGTCTTCAGCTGGATAACATCAGATTTACAGAGCAATTTAAGTTTAAAGTAAAAATAGTTCAGCTGGCAGAATAGTGAGGTATTTTTACCTCCTGGCAACATGGCAGCAATTTTCTTCTCTGGTGCAGCTTAACATTCCAGGAATGAATTCCCAGACATCGAGATCTTGGAAAAATGTGAAGGGTAAAAAAGGCTGGGTATTTTTCCACAGCAATCCATGATCTGCCTGTTTTTTTTCTTGGCTCCTGTAATGGCTTTTGTAGCAATACACAAGTGTTGCTATGTGGTAGCTAGTTGCTATGCCTGAACACCCAGAATAACCATAGAGGAGAAATTCTCTCCATCACCCATGAGTAATAACTACACTATAAATCATGTATCTGCATATTATAGGGGATGATTTACATGTATGATCAAGGATTGGATAAAAGATTGAGAAAAACAGATGGGTATTTAAAATATTGCACATGCCACAAAATAAATAAATAAGAAAAACAATTAATGTCTCGTGTCTGGCTGATAATGACAGCTGGGAGTCACAATGACAGTGAGTCTAAATCCAGCTCTGGTGGATGGTAAGCTCCACCAACGAAAGACCGCATGCTTTGTGGCACGTATTGAGTTAACAGGATGGAGAGAGCACAGTTTCGGGGCGGGGATACTATCAGCTTTGCAGGATATGATTGGCCCCTGTGTCCTAATCTCCTGTGAGACCTTTAAGTGTTCCGCTTCAGCTCCCACATCCGATAGAGAAGTCTTAAATATAACTTGTTGGGTGTGTTTATCCCCTTTATCTGGGTTATATTTGTGTTGAAGAAAGCTTTTTGATTACTGCTCTGTAGCCTTCAGTCACACAACACTGAAACTAAAAATGAAAGAGAAAATGGAAACATCATCATGTTGAATTTGATGTTGGAATTTACGCACAACCTAAACGTTATATAATATAAAATTTTCATGCCTTTTTTCTATTATGCTTTGTAGTCTACCTCCAAATTTGTAACAGACAGTGCACCTGGGGTATGGGTTGTATCGGAAGTGGCTTAGAGGCGCTGCTCTACTGTAAAAGTCTCTTTTCTGACAGCACCCGAACGCAGCACAAGCTGAACTGGGCGACTTGTGTCGTGACGCGCAGTCGTGGAGGCGTGCCTCTGATGAAATCAGCTGGGGAAACAACAACACAAAAAGGAGGTGGCTTCGACCAGAAATATCTTTAGGCCAGTTATGTTTAGGTTTTATTCCAAAAAGCGTCCAATTCAAATCCAGCCAGCATCCGAACCAGGTCTGCAGCAGCGAGTCGATACTTGTTGAGGACTGTGAGACGTTTGGTTAAAGAAGGCAGCGAGCGGGAAGTAAAGAGGAGAGGATGTGACAGGGCACAGGTCCTGCAGTCATCTGTGCTCTTTGACAAATAACGGGACCACCGCCACTACTACCACCACCACCTCCTCATTCTGCGCGCGTCTCTGTCCGGTTTGAGTGACCGGCTGAACCACCAGCAGAGTGGCATGTGGGTCAATTCCGGAACCGTCGGAAGGTAGGGACCCCTCCTGCAGAAATACTGGGTCACATGCTCCAGATGCATTTCTTATGTGCACTTAAAGCAATCCATACACAGCTTGTGATATCCTTTACTCTACAGATTCTTAAATCACCAGCTGTGTTTGCTTCAAGTCATGGTGACCTTATTGTACTTAATGGGCTTTTAATCTCCCATTTAAGTCTCTATAATGTCCCTGTGATAGTCTGAGAAGCTCTTATTATAGATGTATGACATTATTTTAGCAAGAGATGTCACAATGGGAGATTATTTTTTAATTCCACGCGTGCAGCACAGACTGCTTTTCGTTTCTGTGTTGTAGTGCAGCGGATGGGCTTGGCACATTACGCAAGACTTATCAGCGCATCATTTGGGATGTAGGCTGATATCCACCTGCCTTTTAGCCTATATGTGAGAGACATCTCCTCAGCGCGCTGGATGCTGTGTCTAACCTGCATTTTATTCCCACACACAGGGGTGCCAATACAATAGATTGTCAAGCCTTGTTGAATTGGGTTCCCAATCCCCCCCAAAAATATGAATGAGCCAGGTGGTTATGAATGGCTGCGGGGAGAGGGAGCGCACGAGGTGCTTTTCATTGATGAGCGTAGTGATGCCACAATCACAGTATTCACTGGAACAGCATGCAGATCAAAACTGTGACAACTGATTATGTGCAGAATCTCAGTTTGTAAGAATGAACATGCACTCGTGCATGCACGCGCTTGAATACACGAGCACACACACACTGTAATGCTGATCCCGGGGCTATGACGTCGTCAGAGGGATTGTGTTACGCAGGTAGCTGCATGGCTTGTGAGGAAGCCTCTCACTTGTACCTGGGAATGAACAAAGGAAGAATATTCTACATTAGAAGTTTTTATACGACTATATATTCATTTCCAGTCATCAGCAATTAATCATATCTTCATTGTTGCATAAACAATTTAGCACATTTCTCTTCCATATTGTGCAATCTTTGTCTTTAAGCCAATTTTTTTTTTCTTCTGAAACATGTCTATTAATGGCCACTCTGTGGCTGTGACTCATCCTTTTGTGGAAACACCAACTGTTCTAAATCTCATTATTTATTTGAGAATTACTAAATATTCTTTCCACATCCTGGTATTTTTTTAAATTTAAAAAATGTTTGGTTTTTAACCTTCTGTCACTGCTACTGTTAATGAACCAGTGATCGAGCTCTGTCGCTATGTTTAACGTTAGATGGCTCTGGAACAGAGCTTCTTATTGTCCTGGTTAGGCACCGTGCCCAGCGCTTTGACTGTGTCAACAGCTTTGAGATAACATAGTGCAGCACTGACAGACCCATATGGAAGAGTCAGCCAGCATTATATGGCTGGCTTGAATGCTCTGACCCCTTTATCAGGCTTCAGTGGAAGGTACACCGAGGTAATAGGCCCTGCAATTGTTTTTATGTGTTTATGTCTGTGTCCTCCACTGTCAAAACCCATGTTATAACATGGACTGTGGAACTTTAATAAGAAAGTATGTACTAATTAGGGTCTGTTTTTGAATTGCAAGGACCAGGGTTGGCCTGTTACATTCCCAAAGGAGATGCGTAACTTGGAATACAGACTTTACCTCCCCATCGACAAGGCTGCAATGATATTTGGGTCACTGACTGAGTCCTTTGGCTCAATGATCCAGAGCTGCTTTGACTAGTACGAGAACATACATGTGGAAAATCTTATCATTGCTGCATGTTATGATAAAAGAAAAACAATGACATCAAAGATTAACATCAAAACAGAGTCAGTAATGGTATTTGAAGGCTCCTGTACAAATATGAATCTGTATGCAAAACAGGTGAGTTTTGCAATATGTATTTAAAGACAACATTTTGTCTGTAAAGGTAACAACTTGGCAATACAGTTTTGCTCTTTGCATTATGACTTGCACTTTCAAAACATAGTCAAAGCAGCCACAAAGCACTGCAATGCTCACTGTCAAGTGGCAAACAGGATTGACGGTGTCTGTTAATGCGCTAGCCTACAAAAGTGAAAGTAAAAGCCAAGTGCAGATTCACTCTTTCTTGCACTTTTATTTTGCTTTGCTTTATTTGTGCTTTTTTTCTGCACTGTGGCTCTTGGATGCCTGCTTCTTACGGACTGCTACCTGGTCGCTACCTTTTTATGAAGCCCCGACCTCACCTGTCTGCTGTGGGGTACACGCCCATACATGTCATGAACACAGAAAATAAGAGGAAAATAGGAAAATACAAGGGGAGGACAGAGTCTCTGCAGAAAAATACATCACCACACACTTCTAGTGGGTCTTAAGTGATGATTGAGAGGCATCTTATGAGTCTATACGTTGGTTTTAAGGGAAATCCTGCATTTTTAGATTGGATGAGGTGATCAAAGAAAAGTGGATGACAGACATAGAGATACTATATAGAAGAATATTCTGTATTGGATGCTGGAAAGAACAAAGGCATGAAATAGAAACACAATAAAGAGAAGCAAGTTAAGACAGCAAGAGAGATGGAGAGAAAAAGTAGGTGGAAAATATGGACAGGGAGGAGGAGGAGGAAGATGGGGAGGGATAAAGGAAATTAGGGCATAAAGAGGAGCCTTCCTGTGTTTACAAAGCATTATTGCAGCAGAGAGACGAGAGCAGGAAGACTTTCTCAAGCAGGCTGACATGCTGCTCCCAAAGACCCTCTCATTCATTAGGACTGATGCGTACACATTGCCGTCTGCCACGGGCCGCTCAGTAATACCAGTACGTACCATCTGCAGTGGGTGAGGCAGGTTCGTGCCAGCGTGCCTGTGTGTATGCACGTCTTTGCTAGTGTGTGTGAGTCTGAGGTCTACTGTCAGCCATCCAGGGAGCCAAGCAGAGGCTACAGACCAGGTTATGTAACCAGTCTGTGCCAGCTGCGCCTGTGGCAGTGACTGTCTCAAACACCCACATAACACACACATGTTCACTCCCACACACACACACACACACACACACACACACACACACCTGAAAAACATACAAAAGTACGAATGAGTAGACATTTTCTTTCATGAGAGCAGCCTTTTGACGAAGAATTGTTATAAACAAAGTAGGTCGCATACATGATTGCACATGCAGCCGTCATTTCTTCCAACAATTACACATGGACACTATGCAGTCAAGCCTGTGATAGTGTAAATTCCATAGCTCTGTGTGAGTGCACACGTGTTGACCCATGAATAAAGAGGGTGGTTATTGGGGTCATCTTTTTTTGCAGGGCTGGGTATGAAGGAGCGGAGAGGCAGGCAGCTCAGTCAGGGTGTTGGGGTGAACTCTAGCCCCAAGGAAGAGGACAAAAAAAGAGGCGAATGGGGGGCTGTGGAGGGCTTTGGATGAGCGGTTGCTGCCACTGGATCGCTAAAGGTGTTACGTAACAGGGAGAGGGAGACAGAGGGGGAAGCAAAGCGGGTGTGGGAGGGCTGTCTGCTTAATGCTGCTCCTTGATTGCTATCCAGAAAAGTGTGAGGTCATAGATGGACAGATAGATGGCCTCTAATACAAATGGGCGGAGGGGGGCATGACGTTGGATGAGAGGGGAAAACGGGGATAGGACAAGAACGAGGGGTGGTGGAGAGAGAGGTTATTAAAAGACAACGAGCGACGCGAAGGATGGAATAACTGTGAGCTGGAGCGTTACATTGGGAGAATGGGAAGGAGAGTGGGGGGAGTTTGTGAGCAGGTGAGAAGGTGTGGTTGAGTGGGCACAGCTGGGACACAAACCAGACTGACCTAGACAGACAGAAGGATAAATGAAAGGATTTAGAAGGGAAGTGTATAAAAACATGAGGTAAAGAAACCAGGAACTGTGCATGAGGTAGAGCTGTAAGCCGTCGCTTTATGAAACCCCCTCTGGCTTTAAAGCAAAGCCATACTGAGACACACACTATCCAAATTATGCATGAGCTTCTTTGTCTGTCTGGTCCTCCTGCACCAAACAGATGCGCACACACACACACACACACTGAGTCAATCCGTGACATTCCAGAGTAAACCAGAAGGTCGGTGTTTGTGTGTATTGCATGGGCGTTTGAGTTCCTGTCACAGCGTTCCTATCGCTGCAGTTGTGCCTACACCCATCAATATGCCACTATAAGAGTCAGAAATACATGCACACATGCACAAATACTGGGACAGAATCTCATTCTCTCTCACACACATTTCATGATTGCATTCCAACACCTATTTGCCCTTGTAACCTCCTTCACTGCCTTGTTGGGAAGATGACACTTGGCCAGCAGATGAAGTCTAGACGTCTGTGTACAGTTCACTATAGGTCGTTGGCTAAAAATGAAACCTGAGCTTTGCAGCTTCTCTTTCCGCTCCTCTGAGCTGCTCTCACAGTCTTTGGCCTCTGCTCATCCTCCAGTCATGCAATTAAAAATAATTGTCCAAGTTTGAGGAAGCTTGTACAGTTTAAATATAAACCCAAGAGCAGGTGCATATCTTTAAGTGCAGTGGTGTGCGAGTAAATAATTGTGCGTTGTGCGCGTTGACCGACGCATGACCGGACTCTCGCTTGGAGCTTGATGCAGAGCCTCAGATGGAGGATGATATCTGGGAGCTGGGTACTCTTGATCCCCCTGAGAAACTGTCCACACCACCACCAACGCCGCCTCCTGGTTACATCACTGCTTGCATCATTCCATGCCTCACAGACCGGCCCTAAGCTCATTACCACGTGCACACGCATGCACGCATGCTCACATGCACATATGCGTACCGACTTCCAGTCTCCCATGGGTCAGTAGTAGAGTACCTTAGACTGTACTCTCACTTGTACTGTCTCTTTTTTCTCCACCTGTCTTTCTTTCTGAGTGAACCACACATTTGATAGTAGAGAGATCGGCAGGAAAAGCTGTGATGCATTCCCCTGAGCAGCCTCGGTTATTGTTGGTCATGCCCTTTTGATCCCAGTGGCATGACTGACTGATTCTCTCTCTTTCTCTCTAAGACTCTAATAATCCCCTCCCTGCCTTGTCTCCCTTGCAATCCCTTTTGCTTATCGACTGTTGCATTGGAAACGCTGGGGATAAACAATACTACGCATCCGCTCTTCCCCTTTACGACATGTTGTGGATGTTACAGAACCACTAGTTTTGTATGCCAGGCTTCATACTTGGCCCTTCATCGCTCTTTTCCTGATAATTCACTAAGAGGGCTGCTGCTTTGGCAGCTGCCGTGACCATTAGAGAGATAGCTGTTAGATAAGTGCAAGGTTGTGGTAACTTTTTATTGCTTCTTCTATCTCTCCCCTCCACCTGTAGTACGTGTCTGTGATGGTGTAGCAGCCAGACAGGTGGCAAGGGAAAAAGGGTATTTATAACTCTGAAAGGCAGAGTTCCATATGGACTATTCAGGAAACAACAGACACTTTTCCTCAGCTCAGACAGACAAAGGTAGGCTCTCGGTGCTGTACTTCCTGGCTGACGTAATTGGGACTCCTTATGACTAAAATGATGTTTCTATTGACAAAGGGAATCAGTGTCTGATGTCTGTAGGGAAGAAATAAATTATATATAGCTGCACTGGTATTCTGATCAGGCTGGAGATGTGTGAGGACATGGACAGCAGGTCATGGCTTATTAGCAGGGCGCACACATGGCTCGTGTGTCCAATGAATAGATACCATTTTTAGCCTCTGTTGTCTGTCAGTGCTGGACTGAAGTGTTTCACTGGCCTCCAAGTCAATGGAATAGCAAGCGGAGGCCTTTATGAATGTTTCAGATGCTCTATTTATGGGACCTTGGGGTGGGTCTTTGAACTAGTTGCAAGGATGGATGGACTGATTAGCTGACTGGAGGTCTAAGTGTGTGTGTGCGCGTGTGTGTGGGCTGGTTATGCAATAGAGCAGATTCTTCCAGGAATGTTTTTAAAAAATGGGTATTAACATGTGTTTTGACATGTCAGAAATGTTTGTAAGCAGTTTATGGAAAGGGGATTTTGATAAGCTTTGCGCAGTGATGTGTGGTTTTAAAAGCGGAAGTCAGTTGAGCTGTGCGCATAACCACATAACCATCTCCGTCTTGTGCTAAGGTCAAGTCAGGAGTTCACAGGTGGTCATGCAGCAACACTTTTTCTATGTTTTTCTCCCCCTCTGTGTAAGCCTGCAGTAAATATGTTTGACCCACACTTCCCATGGGCTCCCAAATGACCTAAAAAGTTAATTACAAATGCCTTCATAGGGGAATTTATTGGTGCTGCCAAGGTAGATGTTTCATCACGTCACATTATGTTTTCTCTGCAACTTTGTTTCAATCCATCAAAAGGGGGCACAGATAAGGGGAAAGACAAACAAGGAGAGAAAAGGACAGTGAGCTCAAGGGAAGTCTCTCTCTTTTTGTTTTTCTGTCTTTCTCTCTCGCTCCGTGCTGTTACAGAAATAGCTCTGCGGTCCCTCCATTCCTCAGCCTGCGAACCATGTGTTCTGTTGAGGAGTTTGGCAGAAGCCTCTGTACACTGGTCAGTACAGCTACGGGGGCTTAGAGCCTTAAAAAAGCTTCCCTAGGCTGGACTGGGCGAGAGTTAGAAGCTACTGCACCTGGTGCCAGTTGCTTTCATTGTCAAAATGCAGTGTCATTCCTCCCGGGACGCTTTATCAATGTGATTTTAATTTTCCATGAATATTGAATTAACCTCTTTTCTTTCTCTCGCTCTTTCTCCTATTCTCCAGGGCCCTCTCCATGGATATAGACACAGACTATGAGCGGCCCAATGTGGAAACCATTAAATGTGTGGTGGTAGGGGATAATGCAGTAGGCAAGACCAGGCTAATCTGTGCCCGGGCCTGCAATGCCACCCTCACACAGTATCAGCTGCTTGCCACCCACGTGCCAACCGTCTGGGCCATCGACCAGTACCGTGTATGCCAGGAGGTGGGCACACACATACACATAAACACACAGCCGAACACAGTGTAGAAAGAGCCACATATAGATAAACTCTGGTACACTTTTGGACATGTTACTGAGGCTAATTCTGTTTATTATGCATATGCATTTCTGGTAAAACATCTCTTTACAGGCCTATGAAATACAACTTCATTCTTAAAATGTCGACAGTGCAGTTTGACATTGCGCTTGCTTTTTTTCCCCCTCGAGCCAAGTGATTGCATAATCCTTCAATCCCACTAAAAACACACACATCACATTGAAGTTAAGACCTTTTGACCTGATTACAGGGATGTGTGTCTATGTTGCAGGTGTTAGAGAGATCTCGCGATGTAGTGGATGAGGTCAGTGTGTCCCTGCGGCTGTGGGACACATTCGGGGATCATCACAAAGACAGACGATTTGCCTATGGCAGGTGAGCAGATACATGCACAGAAACAGGCACACACACACACACACACACACACACACACACACACAGTTTGAGACATTGTAGCAGCCAGACTACAGCTACTGACCCAATAACACAATTGCTGGCTGACCACAGGGTTAACTACCTTACAACACGTCCCATTTTCACAATTGGTGCAGCCAAGAGATTGCTTTGTCGAGCGGCTGCAGAATTTCTTAAGGCCTTGACACAGTTTCCTCGGTCTAATATGTGACCAAATTCATTGTCAGCAGGATCAGGAGGAAGTAACTCACAATGAGAGTTTAACTAATCTGTCACACCCACACAGACATGGCCACATAACATTTATTTACCCAAAAGTTGTTTTTTGGTGTAATCCAGCTGCCACGCTTTGGAGTTGAACTCTGCCCTCAAGCTGTTACATCCTTCCTCCACCAGACATGATTGGATCATTGCTCTATCCTCTTACTCCCTGTCCCTTTATCAAAGCTGCTTTATTGGCATGAAATGCAAAAAGTGCTTATTGCCAAAGCAAAATCAGCAAATACCAATTTGAATGGCAGTGACCAAACTTAACCACGTGACGGTAACACAGAAAAGCGAAGCTACTTTTCACACATTATTAAGTAAGTGCTATATAGATTGTAAATTTTAATAACTTTAATTATATGTTTCTCTCCACCCATCTAAAAATGTCTGTATAACCTGAAGTTACACAGACTGATGGGTAACTCATTAATTTGTCAGTTCTCCAAATTCCAGTGACAATTCCGTTGTCATAAAGCACTCACAAAAAAATTACTGATTATAAGCATCACTAGTAGCAATTATCAGACTGCAAATTGACTGCACATTATAAATAATGACTAACAGGTAGAGACAGGACAAAAAGGAGAAGTCTTGCACAGTAATGATTTAGGGTTTATTACTGTTGGATCACTCTCACACACTTTTTTATAGACTTAATGAACTGACAGAGTACATGGAGCTGGATACAATCACAACAGTTTTAACAGCTTTCGACCTATTAATCAGGGAAAATACCCATGCTGACATGCATACAGGTTACCATGGTTACTACATGATTTATGTTACACACGTGGCCTTATACAGATCAATTATAAGAAGGCTTCCTGAACAGATTTCACGAGCAGCAGATGGATTTATCAGTAGTTTAGCTCTTGATATCATGCTAAAATCACATATCTGCGATCATAAAATCTTGTGGATGGTTTGTTTGCTTTCACACCACAAACAAACCGCACCAGTGAACCAGTGGATAATGGGCCAAGACCCACCTTTTTAGGCGATCATGGTTAGGTTGTTTGGTCTGCTGGTTTCACACAGGTCCAAATGAACCGCACTAACTGGCCAAATGGACCTGACTTCCTTTTGAACCTAACTAAACAGGTTAGGTGTGAGAGCACCCTGAGATTTCACCAACATCCACACGCACATGCATGTATACATCACACTGTGCAATCTCTGAGCTCTCTCAAGGCTGGATGACTACCCTCTGAGTAACACATCACCCTGTCACCTTTTTGCAAGTGTATCTATGTGACAGATGTGCATTTGTGGTTTGTGTGTGGTTTCAGTTTGTGGCTCAAATTCCCTCCCCTTTGTTGTGTCCTTTCACTCTTTCTGTGTCTGTACATTTTCACAGTGATCTGCCTCTGTTTGTGTTTTGGTGTGTGTGTGTTTTGGTGTGTGTGTGTGTGTGTGTGTGCGTGTCTGTCTGCATGTCCTGTATACTTTGTCAGCCTGCAGTCAGCTGATAAAGACACAGTGCCAGCTCAGCTGTTTTCTGCCTGCCTGCCTCCCTGGCGTCTGCAGCTCCAGGCATCAACCTCCCCTCCTCCTCGTCCTCCTCTTCCTCCTCCTCTTCCAGCTCTGTTCATTCACACGTTCATCTGGGCCATGCCCTCTTCCCCATCTCCCTCATTACCCCGCAACTCAGCTCCCATCATTAGCCTTGTCTATACACTTGACACTTTGCTGCTCCCAAACCCTCTCCACACCCTTCTCCACTCTGCAGCCTTTTGTTGATGTCAAAACTCAAAACATCACATTGTTAGACAATACCCAGACTGTCACATGCTTTGTTAGGAGAGGAACATTCTGCTTGGGAAAACAATCTCAGCCTGAAAATAGGCTAAGCCAAACTTAACCTGAGCCAACCTCAACTTTATACTTTTTCTCAGTCAGCAGAAATCCATTATAATTAAATCTAATTTCGCTTTCTGACTAAAAGCACAAAACGTATCACATTGCACTTGCACGCACGGTTCTTGTAAGCAGTTTTAGTAGCATGTTATTAACTTTTATAATACTGTTGTGACGGACTTAATGACTGATGAGGGGTTTTCGTGGCAGACTGTGTGATTGCAGAGTGCTACATATGTCAGCATGAGAGCCATTAAGTTGTTTATTGCAACACGATTATCATCGCTGCAGTGTTTATATCTGTGACTGTGTCCATATATGTGTCTTTTCTTACATAATCTGGCAGCTGATGAACTAGGTTGATTAAATCCGACACACACACGCACAGCAATCACAAAATAACCAGCCACTGGTGGAGCTATTTATTGTGCATTAGTGCTGGTGGTAAATTATTAGTGATAGCACAATGATAGCACTTGTCTGTCTTATCATCTGACTCAATCTGGATGCACATACACACACACTGGCTGACACACAGGACATGTTCACACTTCAAGCCTGATACGCAGTTCCTATTCAATATACTATATTAAGCAACTCACATTATGTGTCAAGTGTTGCAAACATCTAATTCATGTCCAGACAGGTTCTCCTGACCAGGCTGCAAATGAAACAACAGCATATGCATGAATCCATCTAGGCTGACCTGAACGTTGAACCTGGAAATAAGCCTACACCACAAAGCAGCAGTACTAATGGATTATTCTGGTACTAATTTTTAATTACCCTCAGACTTTTAAATAGCTGCTTTTGAAAGATAGGTTAAGATTTGACAGGTTCAAAAGCCCTCTGGGGCTCATATTTCAGAGCGGTGTTATGCTAACATAAAGGTATACTGGCACAGACCATAGTAGTAAAACCTAGGTTGTAAAAAAAAATGCTTTAACCACCCGAACAATAGCACGTACACATAACATGACCTCAAACAGACTAAGCCATGGTAATGATCCTTTGACAAAGTGCTAATGGGCATTCCTGTGTGTGTGTGTGTGTGTGTGTGTGTGTGTGTGTGGGTAAGCTGTGATGTAATGCTTTAGTAGTGTATATTATGTCCTTGGGAGTAGAAGCTTTCCAGGGATTACATTAGTGAGAGTAAAGTTGGACTATGGAACCTATGTCTACACTGTAAAAAATTTCCCTTTGTAGGGATCATTTGTTGTAGTGCTTTTTACCTTCATAAGTAATTCAACTTGTCAGGTACATGTATGTAATGCACATTAAGGTGTACTATAGTAAAGTCAGACTTTAAAGCTCAATAGATAAAAAAGAGAGATAAGATCTTTCTTTTTTTTTTTACAGTGTAGCCTCTATCTGCTCACAAAATAGGCCATGGTCACTGTAGCCCAGGTATTTTGCCTGCCCAAGGGGACAAAGGGAAGTGTTTAATGGTGTGTAATGCCGATCTCAAGTTCAGGATGCAGTTCAGCACCTCACATCCTCCTCACAAACCTCAGAAACAGGAATATATATTTCATCATCTGCAGGCTATCAATGATAGTCAATGTAACACACAAGTTACGTAAGTGAAGCTGATGCAAAATAAGCCTGGTCTTGTGCTGCTGGGTTCAAACACCCTGTGTTGTTGTGTTGTTTTAAGAAGTAGATCATTTAGGAATGATAGATTCCTGCACTGTCAGCATTGTCCTGGCACCAAATGATCCGTCTCACCAACACGGAGCTTGATTTAACATTACCTAGAAACAGACGTGCATGCACAAACATGCCATGGAAATATCAGTACCAGAGAATAGCTGTAAGTGCTGCTGTCTGCTTGCTCAAACACATCGGTTGAGGAAATGAATTAGTGTGTGTGTGTGTGTGTGTGTATCCTGATCTATTCTTAGCCTTCTCTTTGTGGTCCATGTAGCCTTGGAGGGCTTAGGGATATTTACGTAAGAGAGAGAGAGAGAGAGATGGGCCACACAGATCACCAGCCCAGAGGCCCAGACACACACACACACACACACACACAGACCCACAGACCCGCCCAGCCACGCGCGTCTTGTGACCCCAGCTTTCTCGATGGCACTGTCCATGCTCCCACAATGCCTCGCGGCAGCCGAACAAGCTTCTTCCATGATAATATGGAACACATATCACACATGTTTTAACATAAACTGACAAGATGTTCAGTGACTCAGCACTGACCCCTTTTTTCTTCCTCTCCTTTCTGTCCCCTTTACTCCATCAAAGACCGCATGTCTTCTCTCTGCTGACATCTCTTGCTCATGACACAACAGATCAGCTCTCCTCTGCCATCTTTTTCCTATCTTATCTGTGATCTCTGTTCTGTTGTAAGTACATGAAATGAAGACTTTTTTTTTCTCCTCCCCCTCCTCTCCCCTGCAGGTCTGACGTCGTGGTGCTTTGCTTCTCTCTGGCTAATCCCAATTCCCTGCGCCACGTACGCACTATGTGGTTCCCGGAGATCAAGCACTTTTGTCCCCGGACGCCCATCATTCTGGTTGGCTGCCAGCTGGATCTGCGCTATGCCGACCTGGATGCAGTTAACCGTGCACGACGACCCCTAGCCAAGTGAGACACCCTCTTCATCAGGCATTAACAGACAATTTCAGATAGAGGGTTGCATGTGGAGTTGCTCCAGTTAATCAATAACAAGTAATAGCAGTGTGACAGTAACAGAATCACTGTAAACAAGATGTTGACAATGGCTTTACCTATGATGGATTGGTGTTGTAAAGAAAAACCTGTAAGGTGTTGAGAGTCACTTTTTGGCTGCTATACGTTTCATTCATTAACTGTTATCCCAATTGATCAATCATATATGAAGAATAGAGAAATGTCATCAAAGTGAGAACTGAATTGACAACATCAAGGTCTTCCTTTTCTAGAGTGTTGAGATACTCAACTTCCTACTTCCTTTTTATTTCAGTCTTTATCCGCACACTGTCATCTTTCACATCATCATCTCTTCCTGTCCCACAGACCCATCAAACCCACTGATATCCTTCCCCCAGAGAGAGGCCATGAAGTGGCAAAGGAACTTGGGATCCCCTACTACGAGACCAGCATTGTAGCCCAGTTTGGAGTCAAAGATGTTTTTGACAATGCCATCCGAGCTGCCCTCATCTCCCGTCGTCACCTGCAGTTCTGGAAGTCCCACCTGAAAAAGGTCCAAAGGCCCCTTCTCCAGGCGCCCTTCCTACCTCCTCGCCCACCTCGCCCCATAGTGGGCATCCCAGACCCCCCTCCAGCAGATGGCGAGGGCCCCGATTCCCTTTTCTGCCAGCCACTGTGTGCAGATGTCCTTTTCCTCCTGCAGGGCGGTGCCACCCGCGTCTTTGCACACAAAGTCTATCTGGCTACTTCCTGCTCCAAGTTCTACGACCTCTTCACCCTTGATATTGGTGGATCGTGCGTGGGGCCACGGGGGGAGGAACAGGAGAGCAAGGAAAATTTGGAGAGCGTGGAGGAAGATGAGCAGAGCAGGAGAGGAGCCAAGGAGCAAGCTGGGCGCACTAAGAGCCTGGACATTGATAAAGACGGGGTTGATGGAGGAGTGCGGGGCCTGAATCGACCCCAGCTGCTCCAGCAGGGCTCTTTGAGGACTTCCCAGAGTGATAATGCGCTCCCCTCTCGAGCCCACTACTCCCTGGGAGCACTGGGGACTGGGCGAGCACTTTCAGGATGGGGACGGGGTTTCCTGAGTGTGTGTCTGGAGCATGTTGATGATCCCGTGACTGGACGACTGCGACTCATGACTGTGGTTGCCATGGATGCACTTATACAGGAAGAACCATTCAAGGTGATACACTTAAAAGCAAAAAGATTATTAAAAAAATATGCATCATTACTGCAGGCTACAAGAGCTCTTTGGTGCTTTCATAGTTGTTCCTAAATTGTTACTGTAACTTCTGAATTTTCCGGTTTTAGGCGGTGCTTCAGTACCTGTACACGGGGAGTCTGGATGAGGGCAGAGGGGATCTGATGCAGGTGGCTACCATCGCAGAGCTGCTGGAGGTGTTTGACCTGCGGATGATGGTGGCCAATGTTCTCAACAGAGAGAGCTTCATGAACCAGGAGATCACCAAGGCCTTTCACGTCCGCAGAGCCAACCGCATCAAGGAGTGTCTCAATAAGGGGACCTTTGCTGGTAAACCACAGTGCCAACCATTTAGCGCCTTAATACTTTCAATGGCGTTGGTGTCATTTGTAGATGTTTTCCATGTTTGCATCAGTAGGTGATTGTCTGTAGGTGTGTGCATGTGTGTGTGGGCGTATGTGAGAGTGTGAGTAGCGGAGGTTTGTGAAAAGCTGATGAGGAGAATGTGCGAGAAAGATTTTGATAATTTTCCAGCATTCTCTTTCAGTCTCTGGAAATGTACACAAGTGTACATTTTGATCACATATTTTTCCATTGAGTATCCGCTATATAATATGCATTTTGTATGTTGTGGTTTAACTGTTTTCTGAAGTGACTTTTAAAGTCATCAAATGATCTGATGACTGTCATTTTGGTCTGCTCGGTTGTCCTGTTTTTTGCCCTCGTGTGCTTCCTGTGTCTTGTGTTTGTGTGGTGTTGTCTGTCCCCCTAAGCTGTTATGTATGCATGTTGTTGTCACAAGATTTGCAGCCAGCGCCAGACATCTGCTGTCTCTAAACAAAGCCTGTCTCACATTCACTTCCTTCTATACTTTCTCCGTTGTCATCATGATCATAACAAAAAGAATCCTACTTAAAAATGCTTATAAGAGATTATATTGATAAATTAGGATTGGAACAATTGTATTAACAGATCTGCTTTATCCCAGTTATTATAAAAGGACTGAATTAAAGATAGATGAAACCCTTAAGCCCATTACAACATTTAACACTAACATAGTTGCTGTGTTCCCCATTGACACTTTGATTCCACACAGGATTTACTCCATGACCTACTACCCTGCGTCTGCTCTCCTTCCCTTACTCTGTGTCAGAACTTTGTTCTGTCCTTCTGTCAATTTATCTCTCTGTCTGTCTGCCTGTGTCTATGTCTCTGTGTGTGTCTGTCTGGCCTTCTGCCTACCTGTGTGTGTGTGTGTGTGTGTGTGTGTGTGTGTGTGGACGTCTGCCTTGTCTGTCTTTCCCCCTCTGTAGCTTGGGCTTCTGTGGCACTCCACGAGATGAATGCTCTTTTCCCACCCCGGTTTTAGATGTGGTGTTCCGACTGGACGATGGCTGCCTCCCGGCCCATAAGCCTCTGCTCATCTCCAGCTGCAACTGGATGGCCGCCATGTTCCGTGGCTCCTTCATGGAAAGCTACATTGAGGAGGTGAGTTCAGATATACGGGGAAGAGCTTAAGGATGGAGTTACCTTTAAGGTTTGAGCAGGGATTAAGTTTCTATGTCCTGAATTCTTGGATGTGAACTCAGGTCAGCCTTTAGGGACAATCTAATCACGCACCTGTACTCAACAACAGCAGTAACATCCGATAAAAGAGGAGAGTAGGCAAAGGTGAATAAGGTTTATTACTTTGGAGATGTGTTGCCGTCATGACATTGTACAAACAGCACATGTTGTCTTTGTTCTCACTGTGTGCTTCCAGAATGTTAAAGTTTACAGAGCAGGATGCCTGAGGCCTGTTATCAGATTGACCTACAAACCGTTGTTTCACCTGCAGTGGTTGAAGCTCTGTAGTTATCAGACCCCTGGAGGCCTTGCACACATAATGACCACATATAGTATCTACCTACATGAAAATGCACACACACACACACAGGCTTTATTCACAGAAAATGTACATTCAAACACACACACACACACACACACACACACACACACCCTTAATTCACACAGCCTGTGACAGCAGAATTAGGATGTTTCACTAACCTATCTTAGCATCAAAGTAGACCCAGAATAGTTCCTCTTTCAAGGTCAGCATCTTCCAAGTGGCGTGTCTGGTTACTTCGGGTGTGCTCTCACCTGAGGTTCAGCTTCTGGTTCCTTGGTGCTCCTCCAGGGCCAGCACCTGTGCACCGGACCTGACCTAATCAGAGAGGAAGTTCATGTCTCCGTCTGTCTTTAAGTCGCTGCTCCCCGGACTGTGTTGCAGAACCAGATCCCCTGGGGTATGATTACTTTCAAGGTCGGCGGGGTTAGGTTACGTAGATTCAGGCCCTCAGAAGGGTTGGAAATAATCAGAGAGAGACTGACAAGGAATACATATGTTGTGTATTCAGTTTAGGTGTGAAGCTTCAAGTTTTAGAAGGCAGGCTAGAAGAAAACCATTTTTGGTTTTTGTGCGTCCACGTGGATGGCCTGGATTTTATTCCAGAACGCACCATGTGAGTGGGTGTGGAAAAAAGCCATCGCAGCTATTGTGGACGGTGGTGAAAGCAGGACATCAGCATCACTGAGGGGGCACAGTGTTTGCTGCTGGTGGGCTGCCGGTGTCTATGGTTACTCTAAACGGTTCATGTTAGTGACTATTGTTGCATTGTTTATGGCATGAAGCTGGCACATCATAGAAGGCAGGTGCCCTGGAGACAAAGACTCAAAGACCGATGGCACAATGAAGCTGTCAGCACTTGTGTTTATGAGCAAGAGTGTATTTACATTTGCATATAAATGTATCTGCATTGTTACGCTGGTGAAAAGCTTTGCAGTGCTAATGAGCCAATGTGATTTTATATGTCAATGGAAGCTGCAGCTTGTCTGCTGGCTCCGAAAGTCACTTCTTTCCTGATGCTAATGCACAGATTTTTTTTTTTTCAAAATTTCCACGCCATTGGCTGATTACATCTCATATTCACTTTGAGGCACGCATCTTCAAGGATAATTGCTAGTTTGAGAAGCAGTGTCAGTAGCAATGAGCAGAAATGCTTACTAAAACACCCGTCTTTTATAGACACAAGCTTTTAGAGCATGACACAACAACTCTGACGCAGCAGATGGTCTAATTCTGTTCAGTTACTCGAAAAGAGAATCAATAGTGGAGAAAGTATTTGGAGATACTGATGCTGCAGATTTACATAGAAAAAGAAGCAGTGAAAATCATTAATACCAAGATGAATCTTTTACTTATTTACTCGGTTTTTGAATGTCTTTTTTTTACTTGGTTTTGACCGAATCACTGTGACGACGAATGGTGATTGATTTGAGTTGCACAGATATGTAAAATTTTTAGTTTAGGTCTACATGTAAAAGCCCAACTTGGGACAAGAATTGAAAGTTAGCCATAGCTATAAACTCTATGTGCAAATCTTAGTCCCATACTTTCTATTGGAACTATGTTAAATTGCATCGTCCCTATTAACTCAACAACATGAACAATCAACAAAGGGCTAAATTGGTTATGTATCAGACTTTAACATCATATTGTATTATAATGATTCTCTTAGTTTGGAAAGGTTAGTTTATAAATACAGTATAGGAAAATTTATAGAACCTGTAACAGTGATAATAATAATAATGGTGAGAGCAGAATGTGATCAGCCAGCGCTGCTCTATTTCTATGCTCATGCCACACTTCCCTCTCAGTATTTTTAGGCTCGCAGATTTCAGTATTCATGCTGTTGTGTGATAACATGACTATTTTGGGTTTGTGCAGAGCAGCACTGAGTTAGGTGTTTAAAACAGATTTATTGTAATTATCTTTATTATTTGCAGAACTATTAGACCTTTTATACAATGAGTATGATTATGAAAGACTCCATGGATCATCAGTCATAGTCAAAGACGTTTTATCCATGGCGTGGTAGTCAAAAACCATGAGTCAGAAGGCATGTATTGAGGTTTGCGGTCTGCACAGGCCGTTATGTGAACTTACCGCAGAGTGTGTCACGGTACACTCCTGGATTATGTTTGAGGTGTGTGGTTTTGTGTTCACCATGTGAGTGTGCATCCCAGTGGAGTGTTACAAGTTGAGAAGCCTGCTAAGCTTCTGTCTCACTCGAGAAAAAAGGGGGGACGGAAAAGTCAACAGGAATTCTTACTTATAGAAAAATAACTTTTTTCAATGTAAAAGAAGAATGACATCAAGTTCCTTACACTTTCCCTTGAACTTGCGCAATCTATGGTAGCAGCTATGTGACTCACTGCCTTTTCCTCACAATAATTTGAGTTCTATTAAGTCTTTTACATTTATTAAATATTAAAATTTCAGTTCCCATAGGTGATTTTTAAGCCCTTTAAGGACTCATATCTCATTTACAACCTGTAGCCATTGCAGCTCTTTTCTTGTTAATCATTCGATCTGATCATTGTTGAGCACTCTGAGCCTAAGCTTTGCTTCACAAATAACATAAACTTGCACTAAACTATTAGTTGAGCTCTTGGGCAGCAGACTGAAGGGCCAAAAGAACACTTATCCATAAATGTCCTGTCACTGCGATCGTGTCCACTCATTAATGCTTCCCGGCCCCAGCTGGGGCTTCGAGCTCTAGAGACCACCCTTGTCTTAATGTTGTGGCTTTTTAGTCGTAACGAGAGGTCGCGCCATGCTGACATTCTCCTAATTGGCTGTGGTGGTGGTGGTTGAAGAGTGTCTCAGTGGGGACACTCAGAGAGCTCCTGGAGTGGTCAGGTCATCACTGTCATCTGAAGTTACCTTCCTTCCGTCCTTACTGGGCTTCGACTGCGTTACCTGCCGCTGAATAGCTGTTGCTGTTTGTCTAATTATCAGTAATTAGGGCCGTATAAAGGTCCTGCTCATTTGTTTGCATTTATGTATATAACTAAGTGGAATACTGGGCTACACTGAAAAGCAGTATGACCAGTGCCTTCACTAGCTAAGGTGGTATGGCGACATCTATAGGTCATTGCAGGTGATTTTTTTTTTCTTCTGTTAATTGGCACTAAAATATTGCCTTCATAGCTCATATGCTTCTTTACCTAAAATGTTATACATGTTTAACTGTCTAGAGTGGCCCAGTCACCACTAATAATCACCTGAACATTTTGACTACATCTGTAGATATGTATTATCTTCATGTATTCTTTTATTTCATTATAAGAGTGTAATGTGCATAATGTGATGTGATAGCATGTCTGAGTGTCTCATTTGTGAAAAGGGTCTGATAGCAGGGTTGCCTGTGTGTGCTTTGCGGTTTTTAACATTAGTCATATTGCTCACATCACTAGCCCCCAGACAGCACTTTCATCTGAGCCTAGATCAAAGAGAATGTAACCAGAACAGCATGTCCTCTGCCCTTTACCTCCAAATACCCACTGCACTGCTTTTATTGATATAACTGTCTTATTTCGACCCCATTTCTAGCCATTGCACTTGATATAGCATGTATGAGTCTATTGTATCTAATTTTCATGAAAAAAAAAGCCTCTATTTTCTCTTCAGTGACATTCAGCCCTTTGTTTCTCATGTTTTTTTTTTGTTTCTTCTTGATGTCATCATTTTCCAGGTATCCATTCCTAACACCAGTACAGCCTGTATGCGTGGGGTGTTGGAGTTCCTGTACTGCGGTCTGCTGACCCCCTGTCCTGGTCTGGAGCCCATGGAGCTAATTGTTCTCGCCAACCGCCTATGCTTGCCACGCCTTGTAGCCCTCACAGGTAAAGACTCTCTCTGCAGCGTTAGAGATATTGCAAAGAGAACTACCTTATTTATTGACTTGAATGTCTTGTTCTGTATATTTCTGTAGCAACATATGGTTTTGATAGAGCTTTATCTGTGCACAAAACTGCCTTTTATCAATGACGAGAGTTCAGTGCTGACTGCCAGACAGACTAAGAGTTTACAACTGGGTGATAAAGATGTCAGTGGTGCATGCAAACAGTAATATTGACATGATTATGTCTACTTTGTGCATCTTCAGAACAGCATGCTGTGGATGAGCTTCTCCAGGTGGCGGTGAAAGGAGGCGACATTGATGGACAAGTGTTGGCTTACCTCGAGCTTGCACAGGTCTGTCCTGGCAAAACCGTCCCTTAATTTATTTATTTATAATTTATTAATGATTATTTCGAAGTTGTATTTTTTTAAAAAGAAGATGAATACTTTCTTTTACTCTTTCACAGCTGTAATAACCCATTTCTTCTCTGTTTTTCCTTTTGCAGTTCCACAATGCCAAGCAGCTATCAGCTTGGTGTCTCCATCACATCTGCACTAATTATAACAGCATCTGCCGCAAGTTTCCCAAAGACATGAAGGCCATGTCTCCAGGTAAAGACACCTTGCCTGTCTTGGTCCTAATAATCTGCCTCTCCCAAACCTCTTTCACACATGCAGCTTTCCTCTCAGTAAAACTCCTACAAAGGTTGCTTTGCAGTGCTAGTTTGAACAAAAACAAATTTTTTTGGGGTTAAGCACACTTCTGTGGAATTATAGCATGCGGTGACTTGTTCATAGCAAGCACTCGGTTGTGAGTGGGAGAGCTGGATTTTTCTTTTTTATTTGTCTGGAAAAACACTGATGCAAGGAAGCAGGAAGTGGGAGAAACACATGAGACCCTCATGGGCTTATTTTATTTAAAAAAAGAAGAAGAAAAAACAATTGTGTCTTGCATCAGATACATTATAGGCAACATTCATGTTTAATGAAGGTGTGAATACACCTATTACATAAATAGTAGAATGCCTAGTGTAATACCTCACTTCATTCACTTGTCCTCAGACCTTCATTGCTGTTGGCTGTTTCCTCGTGTCACCTTTTATATGACGTTATTATTTCACAGTTCCCTCACTGTGCAACAATTATTGTCTTTGTTGATTTCACTCTTTTACCCTGTCAGCGCACATTTGAAGTGACACCTAAAATCTTTCAACTCTTTTAAGTGTTTCATTTTTTTTTATTCTCCTCTTCCGTTCATATCTTTGTCTCTGTAGAAAACCAGAGGCATTTTGAGAAGCAGCGCTGGCCTCCTGTGTGGTTCCTGAAGGAGGAAGACCGCTATCTACGATCTCAGAAGGAGCGTGAGCGCGAGGAGGAGATCTTGCGCAAGCAACACACCAAACGGGGCTGGTGTTTCTGGAGACACCCATCCTCCTCTCCACACATCTCCTAAAGGGTTTCCTCCACTGACTTCTTCGTCCTGACCTGGGTCGTCCCACACAGGATAACTAACCCTCTCTGTAACACATATAGAGGAGGTCTTCCTTGAACCCTCTATCAGTGGAGAAATGACTCTCAGTGCTACTATGCCTGAATGTCAGCATGTTTGGGGGAATGTATGTGCCTCTTTATAATTGTGGGTGACTTCATGAGTGCATTTTGGTATGCTTGTGTGACAAGTGTGGACTTAACCGAAGGGTATGTGCGTGGATGTGTGAGCGTATGTTTGCAATTGGTTGGCATGATTAAGTGATGCTTCCGAGTTGAGTGCTTCCCAGACGCCCTGATCTATGAGGGCCTGCAGCGTTGCAGCGTGGCCCCGTTTCCCCTCCACATGAGCTCTGTCCCTCCACCAGCACTCACAGCGTCCCAGCCTTTGAGTGATTGGACTGGGAGCAAGGGCTCTCTATCTCTCTCAGTCTCCTTCCTTCACATTGACCTTAATGACTATTACGCATTGACCACTGCAGCTCCCATCGGGGAGCTTACCTCTGCCTTCACTTCTACGCAGACTGTTAGCTTGCAAAAGATCCACACCTCTAAAACCAGCACTGGATTCCCAGGAACTGACACTCAACAATGTAATTATTGTTATTTTGATATTATTTGACCTTTTTGTATATTTTTTTGCGCCTACCAGGACACTCTTATGTATCAGGCGCACACGACTCCCAAGAAGTGTTGAGAATTTTGATTGCTATTGCAACGATGGGACTGTTAATCTAGAGTGCAAGTTTCGGTGTAAGGGCAACCTTCAAACTGTTAGCAAGTTGGGATGTTTCCTCAGGAGGCATGATCAAAACTATTAGCCTCCAGTCTATGTGGTCATTGGCGTCTGTCATCCACCCCTGCACCTCCCACTCCGTCCTCCTGTTCACCACCCGTGCAACAAAGAGAAAAGAGAAAAAAAAGCGCAAAACACGAGCTCTCCTTGATGAGGTGGATTCACCAATCTACATTTCAGAGACATTCAAAGTGACCACTATAGCAATGATGGGGGTAAAGAGGGCTAGCCTTACTTGATACCTCTGCCATTGAGAAACGATGGATGCAGTATTAAAAAACAAATGCGCTTGTAACGTCCATGACCACTTGGTTGCATTGAAGCACCTCAGCCAGCCTGCCTTTACACCCCGACACCACTATGGGGCAGCACTGCTCAGGGCCCCGGCACTAACCTTCACACAAACTAACAGGAGTTTTTGTGCCTGTGATTGCTTCACCCTAGTTTCAGTTATTAAGATCAGTATAATTTTATTCCTTGAAGAGTGTTAGGAGAAAGCTAAAGCACAGTGTTATTAGTGCATTTAAAGACAGGACTGTACCTGACTATAGATGAGCACCTAATTCTGAATACCAAAGCTGTGATTCTTTTGATCTCTTTCTTCCTCGCTTTCTTCATGTCCGCGTCCCTGCTTCCTTTACCGGAAAGAGGGGATGGAGGAGAAAAGAGAAAGTGACTTGTGGGAGAAGGTGGTGGTATGATATGATATTTGAATCCCTCCGCGTGGTGGTGTTTTCAGTCTGTGGTGTCAGGAGAACAGTGTCACTGCTGGACATTGCCTTCCATTCCTCTTGCTGGAATTGAAAATGGTGCTTGAGACACAGTAAGACAGTGTCCACATGAACACACAGACACACATTGTGATTTTTATGTTCACAGTTTAAGCGTCTGTCTAGTTGTTTAGTGTTTACCTGCAGTGAAAGTGCAGAATATTAATGATGGTATTCAAATTTGACACATTTTTTTTTTCAATGTTAATTTCCCATATCCTAACAGTCTGTAAGAGGTCGTAATAGGTCACTGATTTTAGAATGTGTAGATTTATGATTTTACATACAGTGGTCACAACTTTGTAATGTCTTTAACTGCTTTTGAATTCAAGAAACAGTGTGATCCGTTATGCTTCCTCGTTAACCAGGAAAATAGTATTACTTTAGATTGAATTTGCAATCGTGAGTGTCATCTCAAAGGATTTGATGTATAACTCCGTACGAGAGCAAGTCGGATTTTCTTGTCAAGGGTGCTAATTTCTTTGGACTTTAGCGCCGAATGTGAAAACGAGACTTTGTGGTGAGGAGTTTCTATTAGCACGTCGTTCTATTTGTGGGTTTGCGCCCCTTAGCTTTACCCAGGCAACTGTGGGAGATAGATGGATTGTGTGAGACATGTGGTGCGCTATAGGAGGCGTGTTAAAGTCATTGTCAGCTAACGAAAATAGAAGTCAGATAGGATCTCATGAGACCCGAGTGAGAATTGAGCTGATTTCTCGCTGAAAAGAGTAGAAGTGGAATAAAAGTGAACAAGTCTCAGTCAACATTACATGCAACCTACATCTTTTGGAATTACTACACAGATGTTTCATCCCAGTGCAGGGCTTTGGGAATTTAAAAAAGAGACCTAAAGAGGGGAAAGTTGGGGACAGTTTTTGATTAACTTCCATGGCCTCCTTTTAATTCCCCATAGAAGGGATGGCTGTTGGATTTGTCTTATTGATGGTTGGTTTGACCCATTAAGCCTCTTCTCTTGGTCCGTGTGCCTTATAGTTGGACAAAGCTAAAAACTAGTTTGGGATTTTAGCAAAGCTGCAGACAGGTTCTGCAGTGCTTGACATGACGAGTACAGCAGACAATGGCCGTGACAGTGTTAGATGTGTAAAATGGATTCAAGTGTTGCTTTATGCACTCTCACCCGTTATCCTTTAGGGGATATTTGAGCCAACTAGAGCCATGCCTGTGGAGAATCTTTAGGCCTGCTGCTTGTTTTTATGCAAACAGCCTTAATTAAAACCCTTGGTAGAGTGTAGTACAGTAGATTGGTCTAATCATATGGCCTTTGATTAGTATATTTTCTAGATTGTTAATTATTTGGACTGACACCGTGGTTGGAAATCTCCGCTAACCAGGTGATTGAGAGGTAGAGCTTAAAATGACGAACAGGTTGAGTCCTGTACTGTAACTTCAAAACCACTGACTTTGAGAAAGCAAAGCTTTTTAATGAGCACTGGCTGGCCTGTGTGCTGGGAGAGTGCAGCCACTTTTGAAATGTGGTTAATTTGCATGGTGGCCTAACTTTGTCAGTATAATGACACTTGGTGTTGGAATGCACTTTCTTCTTTTTTTTTTTTTTGTTTTTTTTTTTTGTTTGTTTTCTATGACTATACCTTTCTGTGCTTAGCATGAATTGCTCCTTATGTAAGATTGTTTCTAAAACCTGATGATTGTAGCACGATATTTCCACTTAAGTCTTTTAAAAAAAAATTCCCACAACTTGCTCAGTGAGGAGCTGAATAACACGACTTGTCCAGCTTCTTGTTTTTTAAGGTCTAGTCGGCACTGAACTCCACAGTAGCTCTCTTCTCGCTGTATGGCTTTATGCACAAGTCAAGTTTTACTAAATAAACTCAGCACAGCTCAAGGTAGCATCACTAATTTTACAATTTTAATTAATATGCCAGGACATCCTGTAGACATTTGCTCGGAGGACTAATGCAGATGATCACTTGCTGCCGTGCAGCTGTCCCTTTTGTGCTGTTACTGTAGTTACCACAATCAATCAAGCTTCTTCTTGTGATTTTTAAGACATTAGGCACAGGCCATTAAAACTGAAAATCATATAAAGATGCATTTTAACTGAAATCAAGTATTGCAATGCACATATTTTAAGAATGTCCTAAATTGGCTTAAAGCCAAGTGTAATGTTTGGGTTTAGCCTGTATGTAATGATAGAGCATGATGCATGTTTCTGGGGTTAGACAGTATTCTGTATATACAGCAGTGTTTCTTAACCTTGGGGTCGCGATCCTATCTGGGATCACTTGGTATGCATATGGGGTGGCAGGAAGTTTCTAAAACTGAAATAATAATATTTAATGAATTAAATTATGTAGGTTTGAAATATATGTCATAATCACTATAATATTTATTTGGGTATATGAACTGCCAGACTTGAGTCTACTCTAAGTTCAGTGAACTGAGAATTGTGGGGGAAAAGAAATGAAATCATGGGCCAGTAAAGGTTGAGAAACCCTGATATACAGAGAGGTAGAGATGGAGATGCAAATTATTAAACATTGTAAGCTTTATTCAACCCCCGATATTTGCTCCACGCTGACCCCTACAAGCCAAAGTCACATTCTGATGTCGGAAGTACAGTAGGGTTGTGTTATCCACCTGGCTTGTCTTGCTCTATCGTATCACATCCTTTTTTACTGTCACCCTCATTTACTTTACATGGAGCACTCTTCCCTCTTAGCAGGCCTGACCTTCCTTTTTTAAACGTGAGGCCCAGCGACCGAGAGTCTTTGGCATCTCCTTTTCTGTGCCTTCAGTGAAATCTCACTCTTTTGGCTCTGTACAGGCTGGCGGCACTGCACCTGTGGCCTCGTGGGCTCAAAACAAAGTTGACTAAGCCAAGAAATACACACATGTGAGCGCAGAAATAAAAGTAGGCAGCTTTCTTTCAATGTACAGTATCTTAGCGTCATAGTGATAACTTCCAATGACAACAACGATATGTTCAAGTTCACCATGTAAAATATCATCTATGCTAAAGCTTGTCGAATTATGGAATGACCAAGAAACCCAGCAAACCAGCAGTGATAAAATAATGTTTTCGCACTCTTTCAGGTGCCTGCACTTTCTATTATGTAGCCTGATACAGCTGTTTTGATAAGTCTGCTACGTCTTTATATTTACCACTTTTTCTTGATCGAAATTGAAATATCTTGTTACTTTTCCACTTTCTTGTGATCTCTTTCTCTTTAAGCCAAATTCAGTAGTAAACCCTATTGCTTCCACTCTTTAGCTGCAATGTACTGTGTCACAGTCATGCATAAAGTCAGTGTACTCTAAGTTGGGGAACAGCATCTGTGGACTACTGGTTGGATTAAAGGCAGAAAATAGCTGTGACAACTATATATATTATGCTTTAATGATGATAGTTGTTTTTCCAAAGTACAGTAAAGTGTTGTAAATTTGAGTCCCAGCTGGATTTGACCTCTCACCTTATAACTGCTCACCACACTGTATTTACTAAGCTGGTGTATACATGTTGTATGCACAGAGAGGCCCAAGACAGGGACAGTGTTTATATAGACAGACATGGTGTTATTAACCCCTGGTCTATACTGTAACTTTTAAGTGGATCGTATATACTGTACTGTATAGTATTGTTATGCACTTTTGTTTTTTTCATCGACTCATGTGAGTTTTATTAACATTTACTGCTCATGTTAGCGTGTGTATTACAAAAGAAAGGCAAACGAGAGAGAGCACACCACACTCACAAACTATTAAGGGCTTTCAAGAAAATAAACAACAATCAGAATGTTTTGCTGCTGTTGCAAAAAATGTTTTGAAACTAAAAAATTTGTAATATTTTTGAACCACTGTGATTTGTACAAAATTAAAAAAAAAAAAAAAAAAACAAATGTAGAAAAAAAGTTGTTTTTTTTCCTTTTTTTTGCCATTTCAGTATTTTGATGTTTGACATGGATTTTATTAAAACTGTTAATCTTTTGAACTTGTCTCACGTGTTTATTAATGTGTGTTTTTCTATGTGATTAATCAACTTTTCAGATATCTGGATATGTTCTTTGTTCCGCTTAATTTTACTCAGTTTCAAGATGGTCATCATTTGAAGAAAGTATATAACACCACTAATAGTTCTGCAGGAAAACAAAATTGAATATGATGTGAAAAAGGGCGTCATGGTGGTGCTGTGTAGTACTGTCCTGTTCCAGGATCAAACCCACCTCCAGGTTTGGGCCCTTCTGTGTGGACGTGCATGTTCACCTCTTGTCTGAGTTTCCTCCGGCTTCCTCCCACAGTGCAAAGAAGAGCAGGTTGGGTTAATTGTAGACTTTAAATTGCCTGTAGGTGTGAATGTGAGCGTGAATGGTTGCATGTGGGCCCTGTTGTAGCAGGGTGTTCCCTTCCTCTCTCCCCCGGTCAGCTGTAATTGGCTCCAGCACCCCCGCAACCCTGAATAGGATAAGTGGTTACAGCTAATGCATGAATGGAAGATTTGAAAAATTATCTATATTCCGTATCAATATTCTCTTTTGTAAACTGACAGAATTGACAGCGTACATTCATTTGTCCACTGAATGATCCACTATATTGTAAAAGTCAACACAGAGTCTCAAATAATGAAAAGGATAATAAAAAAACAGTGGATTCTTTTCTTTGTGTTTTTCTTTTGTCTTTCTCAGCCCTTTGTCTCACACAGTGCATTTAAAATTCACACACACTGCAAGTTTGAGGCAGCTGTGCCACCTAGTGGCAAAAGCTGTGGAATTTGAATGAAAACCTTATTGTCTCACACACACTCAATCTCTTTTTTGTGATTATAAGAACAAAACATGTATCACACAGAACTAAAAACAGGCACTGCAACCCTGGGTCCAGCCGTGCAGGTCTTCTGGAAGGCTCTTAACGCCTAGTGGGAGATTCTTTGAATGATTCAAGAGCCTCAGAGTGAGGTTGGGGCCCGAGGACATGCCATGCAATGCAATGAACTGAAATACACATGTGCATCATTATCCTTTATTGGTCTTTATTGAAATTAAATTGAAATTAAAATGAACAACTATTTTCTAAACACAATCAGCCTCTGTTTCATCATTAATGCTTTATTTGCTCACTTCCGGTTTTAAAAGCTGCCCTGGAAGTTGCCCTCTTACATACGTGCATTCTTTTATATTCCCTTGACATTTTCTTGAAACTTTAGGTGACAGAGAGACTGAATCAGCAGCTCTCGCCCAGTGGCTCCCTGAACACATGCATCATCAAGAACATGTTGTGAGCTGAGACTTTTAATAGAGTAATTCTGGTACAGGATCCCAGAAAGCCACAGAAACATGGGGGGGAGTGGGCCAAGTGTTGCCATGGTGATGTTAAGTGATGTGGCTGATGATGAGTAACTTTAGAGGAGTGACGAGGGAAGGTGGCGGTTGCGGTTTGTGGAACATGTGTGTCCATATGCCATCTTGACGTGTGTGTGTGTGTGTGTGTGTGTGTGTGTTACAATCTGACTCTTCTAGGAAAACACACCAGTAAAGCTGCCTACCATGAAACTCTTAACAGCCAATGACGTACACCAGTTTTCCTCTCATTCTCTAGTAAATGGAGGAATTTACTAGGGTGCGTTTTTGCAGTGGAGACCTCGGTTTCATCCACGGTCACCAGCATGGGTTTGAACACTGATTACAGACCTTTACGCTGCATCAGCTGTTTGATCCGTGGGCTGTGCTCAAGTTTCCCACCAACCTTGCCCCTGCTCTCGCACCGCAGCCTCGTAGAACACAGCTTGAGAGTCACAGACACGCGCTGACATCACCACATCTGGCTCCCATTTTCCAGGGTTCCCTCGGGAGCAGATAAGAAGATCTGAATTTGAGAGCAAAAGACAAAACACTGTCTCACAATTGAGAATATCACAATGTAAATGTGTAAGGGCTCATCGTAGTATGATAAAAGCTGAAATGATCAGATATCATAAATGAATCTTTGCTGATGCTTGAGGCCTTGAAGAGTATGATGGAGGAGTGGGAAGAAGCTCTAAATCTCAGAGAGGGTGTACGATTTGATCAAACCTGGGACAGCACTAAGCTGATAAACAAGATTGTATTTTCAGAGCTTCAAAGCTTTCAAGGATAAGATAACACTTTCACACACACACAAGCCATGGACATTCTCTAAAAAAAACTGGACCAGCAAGTAATACCGAAGGTCCATCGCCTGAGGAGTGACAGCACATTCCTCTGAATATTTCACCCTCCTCCGAGTGTGTGTCATTTACATGTTGTTGGTCCAGACCTCCCCAAGGTCTGCTCCATAAACAAAACTGTCTGCCCTCACACACGCACACACGCATACACTTCTAAATCAGGGCCTCTCAAAGCAAAGTTTATGAATACTTTATCATCCTGACACGACGGTCTAATTTAAGGCCTGTTTTGTATGGGAAAGCAGACGTGGTGCGCCCTTTTTGAACAGAGATTTGTGGTCTCTCTTTTATTTCCGCATAGCCCTGCTATTTGTTTATGTTTGTCATATTTCACTGAAGCTGCCTTTGAAACCATGAGGAAGTCAAAAGCTTTTGTCGAGTAAGTTAGAACGACTAAAAGGGGAGAAAAAGTGAAGAGGGGAAGAAGCAGCACTCTGTTTTGTGTTTGCGTTTACTGAGGCAAGAATGTGAATTAAAACTGCATGCCCACGCACACACACACATACACACACACACACACACACACACACACACACCTGTACAAGCTGAGGCTCAAGGGGAAGATATCTCAAGGCTGTTGTGAAGGCGCATAGCTGAGTAGTGACCTCACCTGGAGGCCTGTTGAGAAGACACCCAGATTCACAGAGAAAGTGTAGATCTTTTGCTCTCTCTCTCTCTCTTACACACAGACACACACACACACACACACACACACACACACAGGCAAAGTGAACATTTGATCATTTGATGTGCATGTGTGCACTCTGCTATTTCTTTCTCTTTCTCTTCTCTCTCTCCACCCATTGCCTTTTGTTTCCAACTTTGCAACATATCTCTGATGCTTCCTTCTCTCCCCTGTTGCGCACCTCAATTGACCTCAATTGTTTCTCAAGGCTGAGTCAAGGTGTTGTTGACCTCCAGCTGCTGGTGCATTTGTGAGTTCAGCTGTCAGATAAATGTGTGTACACCACATCGTATCACTAGTGACTAACCTCTGCTCAGCTGTATCATCGCCACTTGTGAGCCTCTCCCACATCCACCTCATTATCCACCTCCGGGAAAGCAATAACGGGACTCCTCCGCTGAACTCGACAGGAGGACGTGAGACAGAGATACCAGAGTGTCTTCAGTCTGCTTGAAAAAAAAAAAAGGAAGTTGCTACAGTATATTATTTTGTGCCCTGCACACATTGACTTATACAGTAACACACCAAAGTTACTGTTGGAGCTGTGAAACATTTCTCAGACAAGAACTTCTTACATAGTTGCATCAAATTGTAAGCATTGAACTTCTGGTCCAGGCTTGACACATAAAATCTGGTATAGAAATAAATCCCTCTCTTTTTTTCTAAATCATTCACCCCTAAAAAACAGGAAGCAGAAAGCAATTAAAGGTCCAGTGTGTAGGATTTAGGAGGATTTATTGGCAGAAATTGAATATAATGAGTATGTTTTATCACCTGAAAACAAGAATTGTTGTGTTTCATTACCTTAGAATGAGCTGTTTATATCTACATAGTGAGCAGGTTCTCGTCCATGGTGCTCATCATGTTATGTTGCTATGTTTCTACAGTAGCCCAGACAGGACAAATCCAAGACTAGCTCTAGATAGGGCCATTCGCATTTTTACATTTTTTCTTTTATCACATAGCCCACCATAGTTAGCAGCCCCTACGCGATGAGCAATGTTGGAAAAACACACATTTTTAAAAAGCAAAACTGCTTTGTTTAGTTTTTTCATCACTTAAAATCTCAGGTAAATTTGTTTTGGAGAGGAAGAGACCTCCTAAAGGTCAAGATCAGAAAAAAAAGGTGAGCACACATTAGCAGGTGCTGGACTACACAAGCAAGAGGATTCCTGGTTTGACCCCTTGGTGGGGGAGCCCTTCTGTGTGGAGTTTGCATGTTCCCCCTATATCAGTGTAGGTTTTCTCTAGGTACTCGGGCTTCCTCCCACAGTTCAAATACATGCATGTTTGGGTAATTAGTGACTTTAAATTGGCTGTAGATGTGAATGGTTGCCTGTCTCTATGTGATTGTGTGGCAACCTGTCCCCCTAAACCTTACACACTGGACCTGTAAGTGTAGCCTAAAAATTATTATATAATGAGCAATAAGACATGAAGTGGTTTCTCTAGCTAATGTTGGTTATGGTTTCCATGGTATGAATAAATAGCTGACCTCACTGTAGCATGCTACAGCAAGGTCTGACTTGTTTGAATACACAAAAGGCACTCAAAAGATTGAACACATTCTGTTCATACTGTAAAACAGTGCATTCCCAAGACAATGGGATAATGTTGTAGGAAAGGCTATATTTATGACAACCTGAGAAGAAGATTACAACCGTTGCAGCTGTTCATACACACGCAAATATGACGGCACATGTTCACACATATGGAGGTAGGTACATCCTGGCCTCTCATAACATGCATAGAGGAGCAGTGGAAAATATATTACTGGTAAAGTGTAGGACAACAGCAGGACAAAGCTCAAACTGTGACCCCTGAACTCAAACACATCTCCGACCTTTTGACCTCACCCATCAGGTTTGAGCACACATAAACCTGCCACGCAAGCTTTGCCCCAGGAAAACAGGATTTGGTCAAATCCATGCCTCTACTAAGAAGCTGTTTGTTAAGTGGCAGAAGTTTATTTTGTCAATTCAGAGGGAGATTATGTTTTGTGTGTCAGGCATTGGCACCCATCATCAGAGGGTGGAACAGTCACATGTACAAGAAATTGCTGGAAATCAATGAAGAGACTTGTTCGGTGGATTTGGGATTTAGGTAACACTGCTCTGGGAAACCATGGGAGGATGTTGTGTGCGACTGGACCACTCAACACTCTGTCACCCACACTCTGTTAGTTTAGGCTACATCAGGAGGGCAGGAAGCTGAACAAAAAGCCTGTGACAATTAGAGAATTTTCAGTAAACCAGGAGAAAATCCCCATTACCACACACACACACACACACACACACACACACGCACACGCACACACACACACACACACACACACACACACACACACACAAATCTCCAAATCCCCACTGGACATACAATCATTCCCACATTTAGACCCCATCTCCAACAACAGCTGCCACCGCACCCCAGCAAAGGAAATGCCAAAGTCCTCTGAAGTGGAGCATAACAGCACTGCCGTTCACATCCACAGTGAAGCACTGGGAGGCTGGGAGGGCAGGAGAACCTCTAATAGCGGGAAGTTGTAAGAATAATAGCGGCATGGGGATGTCGTGCCCCCTGCGCCTCTGGCATGCAAGCTTTGACCCAAACAGCAGAGTCTGTGTACTGTATCATTCCTTAAACAACTAATGCAACTTTTTACACAACTTACAGAAAGGATGTACAAAATGTGGACTTTTTGGGAAGAAATGTTGACTTTTAAAAACAAAAAGTGATATAGTGAGGCTTAAAAGCTGCAAAGTATCATGCTGGATTTGTGTCATTATTTTTACTTCTTGAAATTATGGTGACATTATGGTTACATTTTTTTTTAGCATGAGATATTTGTTATTTCACAGTGACTTGCTCCTCTCCAATGTAAATATTGACACTGTTAAATTATTAATAAACTGCTTTATGTTTGTAGAACAGTTGCAAACTTAACACTGAAAAATGTACCCAAGGAAGAGGACTACAAAGATGGAAATGTGAACTCTTTGCCTTAAAAGGAGGTGGTTATTTTCACGGGCGACTGCGTCCAGTGACTGTGACAATCCAATATTCACCAGAGTATTACTCACAAGCCACTGTGAACTCTTTCCAGATCAAATCTTAGCAGTGCAAAGCATGGCATGGCGTATTTGATGTGAGGAAAAGTGATCTGAAATCAAATTTCATGAGGTCAAAGCCCCCCTGAGCCTGACACCTTGGAAAATAGAAAACCTGTGACTTTTATCCCCGACATCTGTCCTGGATTATCTAAGAATGGCTGCTAAGTAAATTACAGAGCTCAGGAACATTCCCATAATCCAACATCTTAAACCCCCATGCCACTGACCCACAGTTGAATACCAGTGCATGAGTGTGTATGTGTGCTTGCATGTCTGGAGCAAGTTTGTCCAGAGTTCACAGCTTGTGCGCGTGTGCATGTGTGAGCTTGTGCATCGGTGCATGGCAGTGTTTGTGTGTGTGTGATTGGGTGGTCAGTTTGTGTGTGTGTGTCACTGTTGGGCAGCCATTGAACAGACCCCCAGCTGCTTTTTAACACTGAAACAGCCTCTTTTTTTATATGCAGCTTGCTTCAGACTCAGTTCCCATGAAATTGGCCCTCCTTTGGCTCGGTCAGATTGCCTGCACTGTAAATGGCTTCTCTGGAGTCTGCCAAGGGCCAGAGGGGGCCGATTCAAAGACAAAAAGAGACAAAGACAGACTGACAGATCCAAAACTGCCTCACTGCCCCTGTAAACCACATTAACAATACTCTGGATTTTTGCTCAAATGTAATCCATCACAATTATGTGGGAAAGCTCGCAAAATAAATATTTTTATGTGCTTATTTTATGCTATTGACCCTCAGCTATCATGCATTTGCTGGTTGCATTATGTAAATAGTGGTGGTATGGTGCAATAACTGTCTTTCAAACAGCAAAGTGTATAAAAGTCGCAGTGGAAGGCAGCTGAAGAGCAGGCAAGTTGCCTTAAGAAGTGAAAATCAGGACAAGCAGGATGCACGGAGCAGTTACGATCAGTACGTGTAGCAGAGCGGTTACGTTTCCTCCAAAGTGACCCAGCTAGTGAAGTCATTATGCTTTCCACTCTCTCAACGGGAGGTGGGGCTTTATAGTGAAAACTTCTTCTACCCCGCTGCACAAAGACCAGTGTGCAGTCGCAGTCTCCTCCACGCTGTGAGTGCGCAGCGCCTGCACGGATCGCTCCAAATTGGAACTTAAGCCCACATTGCATGACCCCGCATAGCTTTACTGCTGTTTTCTCGGCCGTGAACGACCCTCGGTGTTCCGCTGTGGCTGTTTTCCAGCACGTAGTCCGACCCCGAAAACCGTCGGGACCAGTGAAGAGAGAAGTTGCGGGAGTGGTCTGGAAACTTTTGCCATCATGAGCTCGCAGACGGTCAACCTTGATACCTACAGCCTGTCGCTGCTCACGGCCAAAGAGGACATCATCAACCCCCGTTCCTCCACCAACTGGTAACACTGAGTGCTCTTGCGTTAAACTGCATGGGAATCCTTTTGGTGTGCATCTTAACATATAAGATTGAATGCCATTTTAAAAAATTCTGCGCTTGTAGAATGAGAAATAACAAAGACAAGACAACTTTATGAAACTTTAATGTTCTCCATCTCGTTTTACTGTCGTAGCTGTTTACGCACATCCAGGTTAGCGGTTGCGTAAGAAGAGGCTTGATTTCAATTAATCCAATGCGGGTTACAGAACTGGCCAACACAGGGACAGCACGCAACCTGGACTGTCTTTACAAGTCCAGTAAGGGCAAATGCATACAGGCTGGTTTAGTATCGACTCTCTACATCCCCTCGGAGAGCTGGCGTGAGGTGTGGATAGCCGTCCATTACGCACGCCAGGCGGCTGGTGTGGCTCAGAGCGCAGCACCTGGCCGGCGGCCCGCTGCCCTCACCGGGGCCTTGCCGCTCCATGACTTTGCTATTCTCCCCCAGGAGCTGTAAGGTTTCATTCTTTGTGCTGGGGATCATGTTTCTGTTGATGTGCTGATCTCTTGACAGGGGTTGTCTTTCAGGGAGAGGCTCTTTAATTTGACAGACAGAACGCAAGAGTACCACACACATGACTGACCAATAATACAGAATTGATGATCTATTACAGTGTCCAAGGTTATTTAAGAACAGAATCCAGGGCAGAGTCATCTTAGAACATGGATACAGAACCAGAGTTCAAGTATAAGGAAACACATGGAGTGTTTTCTCAGAGGCACTCACTCACTGCTTTAAATTTTAACATACATTTAGACTCTAGATGACTCTTAGACACATGAAAAGTTGAAATATTTCATTTATCCTGCTCTGGCAGAATATGTGAGACCATGCACGTCACGCTGTAACCTGACCACCTGACACTTGGCTTATTCTGTCCTTTTGTCACATAGTTTGGCTGGTCTGTAACCACAGTGATCTATCCATCATTTCCAAACAATACCCATCTCCCTGTCTCATTATCTTTCTCAATTTTCTTCCTCTCTTTTACTGTGTGTGTGTGGTGTTGTCATCTCCAGCCACAGACATGGGAGAATTAGATTAGATACTACAGTATGACCTGACTTTCCATGTAACTGCTCGCTTTGATGAAGTTATAGTTTAGAGAAATAGGCCAAGGCCCGAGCCCACATACACACACGTGCTCATGTGGAAGTAGAGGACTGATTCTGTCCATCTCTGTTTCATCTTCCTCTGCCTCACATCCCTCTCTGCCACAGGCTCTTCCTGCCCACTTACTTCCTACCTTCTTCCTGGCTTCTCATGACGCCATGCACACTTGATGAAATGGAATTCAGAACACTATGAGTTAACCCTGACAAGCTAAAAATCTGACATATTCTTGAATGGAAAGAAGTTCCCCATCCAGGCAGAACATGCTCAGTTTCCATTCTTTCCTGCATTTGGAAAATCTCTTAAAGTTTCCATGTTCAGTATCACTATGGAGGTTTACTCCCATGGCAACACCTCATGTTGATAATTCACTGATCCAGCAGTTTCTCATTGGAGAGCTTTTCTCTAAAGTTTCAGTGAACAACAGATCTGGATTGTGTCTTTGCCAACTCTTTGCCTGTCAAACAATCACACACACACACACACACACACACACACACACACACACACACACGATGCATCTTTCCACAACAAGCACGTGTTTGGTTGAGCTTACAAGAGAATAAAAAGAGAAAAAGACAAAAATCCCCCAGCATTCACTGAGCCCACTTTAGAGAGGCTAAATAACTCCGCTGTGACTGAATAGAGAGGTGGTAGGGGGACACGATGATGTCATGATTCCCACTGTCAAACCACCGAAACAGACCACCTCGCGTGCGTGCGTCTGTGTGTGTCGAAGGGATTTTATGTGAGTTTGCATGTGAATATATTTGTCACTGGGTGTGCATATGCTTCCTGCAGAGACTATTAAAGTGAGTTGGGGGTGTTGAGAAGTTTGCACGGAGAGGGGTAGGAGGCTTGTTTTGTTGAGCGGTCCCGCCCCCACTGTGTGGCCTTGAGGTCCCTCTGTGTATTATCTAATGACCTTGTGTCCTGAATGGGAAACAGACCCTTTGTGGGTGAGACTCAGAAGAAAAGAGGTGCAATTTCAATGCATCCTTCATTCAAATCTCTCTGCTCAACATACAGCCTTGGAGGTCTCTCCTCAGTGTCCCAGACCACTGAAGACTACAAAGTGTCTCACTTGTAGGCTGGAAACCTGCACTGTGTACATGTGTTTTGTGTTAGTGTGTGCTTTGGGAGACAGAAAGAAAAAGAAACAGTGATAATGCATGTTCCCAAGGACATTGTCTAATTCTCAGAAAATACGTCTAATTCCTAACAGCAGAAATCATGATTTATGTCCAGTTTGAAACTAATGACTCAAATAGGCACATTAAGTGAGGTCACTGTTGCTCAATTGGAAATGTATGTTAGCGACTATGCTGACATATTTCTAACGTATGTTGTAGTTTTAACACAAACTGAAAAATACTTTTAACAGTTCAATAAAAGTACCTCAGTGAATGGTTTGCTCTGCACATTTTACACTTGTTCACCTCCAATAAGACCAAAGCAGCATGCAATACCAGAGGTGTCTTCCTGCCAAGTATCAAATAGAGCAGCACCAGTTTAGCCAAGCATGATAAAGAGGAGGAGAAATCATAGAAAAATGTTTGCGCATTGTTTCGGCCTTACAGAGCATATCAGATGTGAATTCCCGTTGAGCTGTGGAGCAGTTTGACCACTAGTCATCATACTCGGGTGTAGGCTGAATCCAGACATCTGTGGGCCGTGGTGACTTTGAACACACCTTCACAGACTTCTGTGTTGCTGTCCACACTTTGAAGCTGCCTGTGCTGTGCTAAGTGTTTCACTGTGTTCTCTTGCAGGAGATTATAGTCAGCAGCCAGGGAGTGACGCATAAAGTAAATATCTGATTTCATTGTAGTAACAGAGTGATTCAGTTTATATGGAGTATTCACAGAGCAATTCATCTTGTCTTCATTCACTCTGGGTTGAAAGTCTAATTCTAGACGTAGGGCAAAATGTACTGCAGCCATATATTCAGAAAGAAAACAAGCTGCTTAGAAAATGACATTACAGTTTATTTTATATTACTAAAATGCTACATACTCTAATACAAATATCCTCCTAGATTCCTGGAAGAGATAAAAACATGAATCCTGTTTTAGCGCGACGCTTTTTGTGTGTGTTGGGGGCGGCACTTGACTCACGTCAATGATGCCGCCGGTGTGTTTTGGCCTTAAGAATTTCCTGAGAATTTCGGAAGAACAAATGTCATGCCTTCACTTGCAACTTTTTTTTTGTTTGGCAGAATGGTAGCCACAAAGTGATCTGTCATCAAATGATAATGATGACGAAACTCGAGATATTAAAGGTCCATTGTGTGGGATTTAGGAGCATCTATTGACAGAAGTGGTGTATAATATTTAACTATTATGTTATCTTTTGAGGGATTGTTGTGTTTTTGTTACCATAGAATGAGCTGTTTACATCTACATACAGAGATGGTCCTCTACCACATAGTCCGTCATGTTGTTCAACAGTAGCCCTGCAAACACAGGCTCTAGAGAGGGTCATTTGTGTTTTTGCATGTTTCCATGTTATGCACATGGGTGAAGTTTCAGTTCTCAGTACTGTTCTATGTTTAATATTGTTATGAAATAAAAAAAATAGCTGTGGCAGCACTTATTTTTAAAGGCCTCCACTTTATTGCAGTAACACTCTGTAAATAGTATCCAAGTTTTTGTTCTTTTGCTGCTGTTAGAAAAAAACTCTCTAGTATAATACAACACACCATTTAAGCTTCTGACTTCATTAATAGTCTGGCTACAGTTAATTTACCTTCATTTATCTTTTCTTTGATTTTGACAGTCTGTGGGAAACCCAAGTAATCACTTTTACTCATTCTCATCTAAGAAGCACCACGCTATCCTCTCCTCTCCAGGCCTCTGATCTCCTGTGAAGGGACTCTCCCGTTGATAAATGTCGGAGCCTTTATTTCAGCATCAGCCCGGGGTGTTTGCATTGCTGCTACTTGCCAGAACTTCCACAGGCTCATGCATGATTAACCGACACCTAAAGAGTTCCTTGCTCTAAAGTTACACGCTACATGAAATACACCTGTGGTTGTGGGGAGAGGATGGGAGGGAGAAAGGTAAAACGCAGGGCGGCCATTGTGTGTGAATGCACATGCTTAATTGCCTCTGCTTGTTTGTAGATGATCAGTATTTCCTGATTCAAGATGAAGATTATATCTACAGCAAGTCAGTTATCTTGTTTGTAAAGATAAACAACGATCATCACACAGTTATCAAGAAGTTGCTCACTGCCTAACTTCCTTGCGCAGGTTCTGCTTTTTACCCAGTTCCTTAATTATTCACAAACACCTACCTGTCAAAAAGAGACCGAATGGCACATTAATGGCAGCTGTCTACACATGAGCTGTCGTATAATCCTTATCTAGCTTGATAAAGGTTGCTGGGGCTTTGTACATTGAAACAAATTCCTCTGATCACCTGACTTTGGAATCCTGCAGATGAAAAAAACAAGCAGTCTGGTTGGTTTCCTATTGCTGCTCAGGAAAAGGCTTCAAAGACCACACATGGTGTTGTTATCAAGCTGAATGGCAACAGGACATGTTCGATTGATCCTTGATATAAATAGCATATGCTATAAATGGGAAGTCAAAGGGCGACTACAGTGGACCAATGCCCAGTCCCCTCTCTCACTATCTCTGTCCCGTCGAACTGTGTCTCTGTCTGTCTGTGCTTCCTGTGCAATACTGTGCAGTAGCTGTCTGTGATAGATCTCCAATGGTTTCCAAAGAAGCATGCATGCTATTGCTGAAAACCTTGAAGCAAAAACACACACACTATTTTGGTGTATTGCAGTTGCAGTAAGGCATAGGCCCTAAAAGCAAAAACATAGGGGCAGCCATTCAC